AATAATTAACCGAACCTCGGTCCAAAGAAACCTCGGTTTTTCCCTCGCAAAACGACAAGTGTAATTGTCCCTTATCTAATCACTTCATGAAGTAGCCGTTATGTCGCGGAAAAAGACGGATGTTCGCGACGAGAAAACGCTTTCATGGAATTTGTATAATTGCTCGACGACACTGGCACCATTAGGCGACCGTTAAACACACAGATCAGCCGTAAGCCTAAAGCTCCTCTAGCTTCTCTAATCCCGGCTGTGCATATGGCTGTGCATATGGCTGTGCATACGTTGAAGCGATGGATTGCGTAACGTTTCAAGGTGAAACTCCCCCACTGTCAACGAGACAATCGCTGCCGTTGCAGCTGCAGCTGCTGGCCATCGTTGGCGGTGCCGGTGGCCAATTAGTATCGCTGTTAATTCAATCTTTGCCTCGCCTAGATGCTTCGCGTAGATCCGGTCGGCCGGTGAATTGATGGAGCACTCATCCGAAGCTCTGTACCGTGCGCATCAAAAGTCGCCGCCCGAACCTATGGCGTTCTCTCCTTTCATTTATGGCGAAAATACAGTGAAGCCGATTTTCCCTCAGCGAAGAATTAGCCGCTCTCTTTCTCATCCCTAAAATCGCTGCGAAAGTCTGCTTGAAATTAAGATTCAATGTGTTGTTCAATGTGTTCAATGCATTTCATGTGTAATAAATATTACATGTAATAACGCACTTTTTTGCGTGAAAAGATATGCGCTTCTAATAAGGTTTGAGTGCATTTTTGTATGCATCTTGAACGTATTCAGCTTCGTATAGAGAATCAATTTCTTAAAACGATAAACACAAGTATATCGGGAGAGAGTCGTGAAATTATTATTAGAAACATTCTTCTATAGTGGAGACTTTCATTCGAAAAATAAAAGGAAATCTTGAACGCGATCCGCGGCAAGCGGAACGCAAAAAGATCCGTTCGATAGCGCGCGCGAGCACGAGTGAATATTTGATTTGCATAGAAAGGATGACGTGAAAAAGCGTATTAAGATTGCACGGATTTCTTCGCGAATCATTAGCGAGAGTCTATGGACCATACAATCGCCATTGGATGACTATAAGTTTGGCGAGGTGAACCATTTTTCCGGCGAATGCGGTCAATTAGAAAATGCCCCCGGTCGCACTTTCTCCCGAGTTCCCGTGACGCCTTCTCGGTGCAATGCTATTTAAAAAAAACCTTGTGACCCAAATGACTATCATCACGATAGCGTATTAAGATCGCTTTAATCTTCCATTGTAAAAAATTTTCATTTAAAATAAAAAAAAATCAAGCGTACATTCTTGTTTTTATCTCACACTATCTTTTATCTTTTCATCTACTGTCTATTTTTCTTTCAGTTTCAACAGCCAGAAGACCAATCATTTTTTCGCAAAAGTCTTACATTTTCTAATGTTTACCTATATTTTGCGAATAAAAACGTATCTGACCTATTTCAGACTCATTAATTTGTTATTCGATATTTGTGTTCATTAAAATTCTCAGTCAGTTTTAACACGCAACAACGCTCTCTTGTTCTCCTCGCTCTATATCTGCCTTTAAATATAAGCGCGTTATCCCACAGCATTTATACCAGCGATATATTGTGGGTACAATGCCCAGGTAACAAGCGAGAAGAAACCAGCATCTAATATTCCCACACCAAATGTAAAATGTGCTATTGTATACATTACGTGTGCAGGATGTACCAACGGAAAATTTTCCGCTTCCGGACAATTATGTATCGCGTCAAACATGATAGATAAGTACATATAAATCGATTGCGATATTGTTAACGGCGAAGAAACAAGATTTGTGTGAAAATTATTCTCTTCTTTTCTGAAAGAGGAAATGTTGATATACGCTATATTCCTCCAAATCTACTAGCGTTTTAATGCAAATCTTGGCTCTCATCACATGATAATGTACCTATAGATGTTAATTAATTAATAAATGTGATTTTCTCACACAGAATATCTTACGCTTTGATTTATACGTAACATAAATTTAATTCTAAGATTCATAATTGTCATATAATCAACATATGTTATTGCACATATCTTGCGGGAATTATATAACAGATATTTCCTGCACACAAGTATATAAACGGCTTTATCTATTCAAAATACCATGTCGCTCTAAGAGAGATAAACAGTAGCATCTTTCTAAGATAGGCGCGAGTCGTTAATGGGTGTTCTGATAATTCATGTTATTTTAAAACACTGGGCATGGAAAAATATGGCCCAACGTGATATCGTAGAAACGATAAAACTACAATCTCCTTTGTAAACATTGTTTATCTTGTAACAAATGCGATGTTTACAGTTAGACAAAAACAAATCTTAAGATAAGTTTCGACTTATTTTGACAAAAGGATATCAGAGAAGTTTCAAGATTTCTGGACATCTACTAAAGTGCATTTTAAATTTCGCTCATTTGACACGTACTCGATATATCTTCCTTGTTTTGTCCTCTCAGAGCAACGAGAGGATAAGGCACGGTTAAATTTACATGAAAAAAAAGTCACGGCGTCCATCGCTCTCTATCAGTCTCGACGTGATTTTTCACAAACACTTAACGCTTGTATGGATTGCTGTATCGCGTCAACCTTTGACACGAGTTTTTCATGATGATACGGTCTTTCGGTTACCGATAACCCTAACTTTTCGAGGCACTGGTGCCTGGTGGCGCTTAATAATATTTTTTAAACCCACTTATCGCTCAAACTTATTTATGGCGGCAAATCGATAACCTTTGCTCAAGAGACGAGATCTTTATTGCGTCAAAAATGACACTTTCGATACTGTTTTAAAAAATCAGAACAATATTTTGACAAGATTATTCTCGACTCAGCCGTATCCAGTTGAATTTTTCAATGATTCTATGAATAATAAAAAAGAGGACTCGTGTTCACGAATTGTATCGTTATTTTTCGCGCAAATGTATGCACTGTGATTTATTGAAATGCAATGCAGAAATGTATGCACATCGCGAACAATGGATTTTAAAATGGTAAGATGGAATTTGTTTGAAACGGAGAAAATCAAAGGTCATTCCTTAAGTGCTGAAGCGTTCAGTTATTATTAATATATTATTGTTGTTTTGATGACAAGATTCTTCTGGATACATTATCATTATGCGTATCGTTATCCGTTTCGACACCCTTGGTTTATTTCAAAATGAAAGGAACCCGCGATTGATTATCTTTGAGACACGCTATAACGAGCGGCGTGGCCTTTGGTGCTCCTAAAGGACAACCGAGCAACGAGACGGCCTTGTAAAAACTAATACTGTTACTTCCTGAGATGTTTGCGACTCTCTCAGTAGCTGCTGTTTAATTGTATTTTCTCGCGAAAAAACGGGATGAGAGCCGCATCATTATCTTTTATCTAGAGAGGCGCGTTGCTTAATGTCGCGACTGGCTAATTGTCGCTAGATTTACTGTCGCCATTATCAGCCGTTGGGCGGTTACGAGCGCATAATTAAGCGGTGATAAATTTGTCCCCGCTTAAATCGGAGCACTTGGAGCGAATGAAATTAACGACGCGGATAGGGCGCGCGGGTGGAACGCATAAAGCAAGTGTCAAAGTCATTTATAGTATAATGTATTAGAATTGTCAATGTGTGTATTAATCGTTAAAATCTTTTTAAATAAATATAATACAATATATAATTTAAAAAAGTGCCTAAAAATATGTCTTGAATAAAATTTAAAACTTTAATAGTACAATTTTATTTCAAGTTGGGTAGATTACAACTGTCTGTCGACTAATGTTCGTATAATATACTTGAAAATGTCAATTTTTTTAAGTTAATATAAATAGATAAATAATGAAAAGAATCGTATAAATAACAATGTATAATTTTTACTATTTCACGTACAATATATGCTTATAAGAAAGAAATCTTAAATTTTCCATCTTTTTAAAATATCATTATGTTTCTTGCTAAAGAAACTCTTTCTTCGAGTAAATGATAATTTCTATAGGCGTATTATTTCGCGCTTAATATTTACGTCTCCCAGAAAAGAAGAACTCTACAAAAACCAGCAAGAGGGTAAAACCTTTAATGGCGCGAAGAAACTCGCGAACCAGCTGCCGTCGAGAGTCGAAGATCGATTCCGGTCGAGAGGCGGAGGCCTTCGTGTTACTCGATGTAAGAAAATAATGGACGAAACGACGCTTAAGGAAAAGTGGAGCGTCCGCCCGTAATTCACGGATTTCACTGAAAAGCCCTGTCAAGACTAACACGTAAAGTCACTCGTTATGATTTCATCTTTCTCTCCGCTCGCGCGATCAGACTCGCGATCTCGATGTAAGAAAGTGATTCTATTCGCGTCCAAGCGATTCTATTCGCGCGTTTTCACTCGCGCGAAGAGAGAACGGAATGACCCATTTTATTACCCGCGCCTCCCTAAAACCACAGCAGTTTTTCCGACGCAAATTCCGTGAAAACGAGTCAACAATCAGCCCCTAATTATACTTATCGCGAGATTAGCTCGTCATTAGTTACAACGTTACGCATGAAGGGACCATCTTCGCTCGTTTCCGCGCGATGACTTTCGAATCGCGCGTGATGGGAACATTGCGTTGGTAATTAAGCTTAATCAAGAAGATTTCGCACGTGCGAATGACGTCTGTCTGACTATCTCGCATACGTTGGCCGGATGTCGATAACACCGGAGTCGACACAATGACAATGTTAAAGTAATGATCTTTCGACGTCAGGACACAGATATCTTGATATAAAATAATAATTATATAATTATTATATAAAATAATAATTTTATATATAAAAATAGAGAGAGAAAATAATATAAATGTCATCTGTATTTTACATCGTCTTCGTATAGCTCCGATTAAAAATGAGAATCGTAAAGAATAGAAAGTAAAGTCCTACAATTTTTATCGTCTATTTCCGATATATTAAATCTCCATCAAATAATATATACATATATGTTTGCCATCGCGCCTCTCTCGCGCAAAAGTCACTCACCTACTGTCCTTGCTCGTACGGACGACTCACTAACATTCAACGAGATCGCGCGGGACGCATTCCCAAACTTCGCGCGTAGGGAATGGAGCAGATAAATGTATCTCGACAGGCGGGTAAAATTCAAAGATGCGACAGAACGATAGATTCCACCCGACCGATAGCTCGCGGTGGACTGGAGTGCGCGACGCGCACGTTGCTCGTCGTCGAAGCGACCCACGGGATGCGGAGCAAGAGCGGAGAGCGACGAGAAGAACCGGACGCGGACGAGCGCGACCGATCTCTTCTCCGCGTCCGATTCTGAGCGGTCGTGGGAGTCGAATCGCTCGCCGCCTAGGTGGATTATTCGGTGAAACGGCGGCTGATACGAGCTGGTGGTACCACCAGCCACGGTCGGGTCTCGACCCGTCCTCATCATCCATCTATTTCGCGAATTGTTCGTTATCTATCCTGTTATTAACGAGGAAAAAGAGAACCGGGAACAAATGGTTAAATTAAGCGGTTATTTGCGGAGAAACGTCCCGCGCTCCTCCCACGCCGGTAATGGAATTTCCGACTTTGATGAGATGACAGAAAGGTGTGTCGGGTGAGAAAAAAGGCGGAGAGAGCAGAGCGCTATGGCAATAGGCTGCAGAAATTCGTATCTCCGGGATACGTACTTGGAAGTGAGGACGAGAAAAAGAGAGAGAGGGACTGGTCGGTCGAGAGTTGTCGCGCCGGCTCTTCGCAGAATAGAGTAGCGAGCGCGATCGTTGATGGTAGATGATCCGATAGAATGAGAAGGGATACGAGAGGATGGCGGTACCAGCCACGGTCGAGACCGCCGAGCCTGTCCGTCCTCCATCGCGGGTCGTTATAGAGAGGAGGCGAAGAGAGAGAGACGGAGAAAAAAGAGAGAGAAAGAGAAGGAGAGAAGGAGACCGAGTCGCATATTCTTACGACCGGGAGATCCATCTCCATCCCTTCGCGTTAAATAGATAAGAGGATAACCGGCGCCGCAACCGAGATCGTCTCGGAACAATCGGCCGATGATGGTTACATGGTCCATTTTCTATTCATAGCTCGTCGGCGAATGTTAACGCGCGAGGCCGTGGACTGAAACCTTTAAACCCCGCGTAATCACTCGACGAATTCAATTTACTCGACCCGCTATAGATGCCGGGAGAATGAACTGTGTATCAATTGTCGGGAATAAATATAGCTGTCATTTTCGCGCGGGACGTACAACGCCGAAGTCTATTCTATCTCTAGATTCATCCGAAATTACGTTGTTTACGTTCATTCCCCGCGAATGAGACTGCGATTTCGCAGCTGGAGAGATTTTCACCGGCTGCGTAGGCATCGCGGCAATTATAAAATCCTTTCGCCTCTTGAAATTTCTCTCTCTCTCTTTGTAAGATCGTAATTGCGCAAAAATTGGTAAATTTTCTTTCTAAAAATTTTATAGACATTCACGCGTACGAAAATGAAATTCAGGGCGAAGTTTCGCGACAGGATGCACGTGCACTTCTACGCATTTGTCGCGGTATAAATGTGAAACATTTGCAGCAAGTGACCCCGTACACACGTACACATAGGTACACACACACTATCGTCCCTCTTTTATGAGTAGTCACCATCCACGAGAACGCGCATTCAACTACCGTTTGTGAGAAAATAATGCCGAATTGCGAAATCATGAGGGCTGTTCCGCAAGCGCGACGTAAGAGGTGTGTGACTGCGAGAGATCGTATTTTTCCACGTTTTTTCCGCCTCTTTTTCTTTTCTTTATTTTGCATCGGAAAATTCATAAATCATTACGCTTAAAGAAATTAACTAGAAGGAAAAGTCCAAACTCTATAAATTGCTATTTTTTATTTGACAATCAGTGTAAAAGTCACCATAAAAAAATAAGAAATTTTAATATCTACATTTTATAAGATTATTAAAGCAAAAATTAAAGCAAAAATCTTCTCGGAGAATATTTCTTTTTTGCGATAAGATAATCTTTTCCGAGATTAAAACTATATGATTGCGAAAAAACTTAATACATCGGCGTCAGCAATAAAATACGACCGTAAAATCTCGCATCGGAGCAAATTCCTCTTCGGCGATTGATGAAAAATTGATGAAAAATTTAACTTCGTCAAAGTCGTACGACAAACACACGCTATAAAAACAGAAAGTGATTTTTATCTCCGAGCCGAAACCGGCTTTGGCAGAAAGAAATCTGGGATTTCCGTGTGTCAGTTGTGGCGCAGCGAAACGCGGTACTTCCAAACAAAACACCGTGTTAAAGCGTTATGGCGTTTGCGTCAGGGCGAGTGCGTCGAATCGGCGAGAATGTTAAACACAGGACAGCTTTAGGTGTGATTCAGCGTCCAGGCAGAGAACCGGTTTTTTTTTCTCGCGCAGCCACTCTCGTCGCCTCATTCATTATACAATCAAATGCCGAAAGGTTGGCTACGGTTGCACAATTTTTGTTTTGGTTCCTCTTTTTCCCCGTCGCGATTTCCGCAAATAGACTTTCGTCTATCGATCTCTCACGATCCCAGACTGCGAATGCAAATTTCCACGCGTCTCGTCCATCTTTTTGGAACTTTCTCAAATTCTGATTTCACCTGCCACGACGACGGTCAATGTTCAAAATTCGAGCAATCGCCATTATCATAGAAGCTTCCCAACAGTAGCCGTACGCGAAAGTAGGGAAAGTATCTCTCGATTCGCTCGCGTGTGCAACATACATATCGCTGGTGAAACAAGAATTCGGACATCATCGTGATCGATCGTAATTATTCGCGAATATCGCTAATGAAGCTTCAAATTCGCCAATTGCTTCCGCAACGTGATAAGAATATTTTACAATGTAAATACTGTGATAAGAATATTTTACAATGTAATACTGTCATCGTGCGTAAATCGAGCCTCGCGAAAAATCAATCCAGCGATATTCCCTGCGTAAGTTTTCGTGAAATCGCCTCTTTTACGGACTTTTGTGAGCATGATAACGGGACAGAAATTTACCCGTGTACACACGTGCGTGCACAGTGCGCCTTCACTTTACATAATAACGGCCGACCTGGTGTTTATCATAAAAATGAACGCAGGTCGGTGTGACTCGCCGGCCTGTTTTGCATTACGTGAGAAATAATTATATTATGTGCGTAATTCGACTGGAATCCGTGACTGATGGGAGCAATCTCGTACGCGTATCTAAAAGCTTCGCTGGAAAACGCATTTGCGTACGCACATATCGTACGCCCACTTGATAAACGAGAGGGTAAGAGACAAAGCCGCGATCTATCTCTTGAAATTCCTAGTAATGGAGAACACGCCGCAACTATCACGAATATCGATGCACTTATCGGTGCAGGTGATGAGTGCATTTTTCTACTAGAGCGACTCCTCGTTTCCTTCTCTCCCTCCCACGCGCGTGCTCCGATTTACACTTTCATTTTTCGTAATGACGTTCGCGCAAAACGCACGGATCACGCGCACGGGCGTGAAATCGCAATCTCTAGCCGCAATCATCGCGAGCGCGTCAAGCATGGAATGAGATTTTAAGGACTAAAGTAATTATATCACATAAAAAATTCTCAATGAATCGCCCAATTATCATCATATATAATAAATTGTATAAATTTTAGAATAAAAAAAAATTTGGACTTTAGAAAATTTGAAAAAAACAAAAAAAAATATATATATATGCATGCATTTGCAAAAATTGTCTTGATTTTATATAACATGAATATAAATTATAATATAATTATTCAAATATTCGTGCGTCGATCAATCCCACGTTTGATGTTCAATTTACTCTTTTCTTGACATTCGAGATTTTATCTCAATCACGACAAAAAAATTAAAATTTCCAAATTACTCAGCATCGTGGTGTAAATATCGAGAGAATTTGAAACTTGTTTGCAATGTATTAACACCGTGATAAAGTACTGTTGCGATATAAACATCATACGTGTTACATAACGTAAGATCGTAAGTGGATAATATAGCACGATTCTATCGACGAAACACGTGACAGACAATTTTTTAATTCATGTATAAAATAATACGTCTGCGGCCGGAAATAATAAGAAAACTACAACAGTATCTCTAAAGATTTCCATTCGTTGAACCTGAGTATTTCTCAGAAAATTCTCTAGTCAATTAAACAGGAATTTAATAACTCGAAATTAATGGTGCGATACGCGAAGCGCGGACTATTATATCGTCGAATTGACGTCGATGATGATTACGGAAACGGCGGGTATTAGGGAGAAGTTGGCGGAATAGAATTGATGGATTCGGAACGTATAATTTCTGCGTCGACAATGCGCGAACGAAGGTTATCGGGAAGAAATGAGCACTTCCGCGATGATGATTTTTCAACTTTAATCGCCAACATACGATCTTGAGATCGGATAAACGCCAAGGAATTATTTAAAAATGTTTGCGTACAAAAAAAATTCATATATAAATTCAAGAATTATAAATTATAGACATACATGTAATTTTGAATTTTTTAAATTTTGCTTTCTTGTTTTTTACCTATTAACTTTATAGCTATAACTGTCTATCGACATTTCTATTTTAGAAGTGTACATAATATAAAGATAGATCGCCTTGATTTCTCTCTCTCAAATTAAAAGCTTGATCGTCGAGATCGTAGCAACTTCAACAGGAGGAATATAAAATTATCGTGGAATGCAGTTTTATGCGCGTGCGAACGAACGCTTCGCAAGTACGCGTACATATGCGTACACGCATCTTCCATATGTATACAACGTATATACGTAGATACGGATTCGTTCTGTCTCAAGAAAACGGCTAAAGAAGTCGGTAGTCACGTTGCAACTGTCGACTTCCTACTCGGCCTTCCTCTTACGTCTCATTCTTTAAATCCCTTCCTCGCAATGCAATGGACATTTAAAGACGCATCAAACAGCGTCTATTCTCTCCATCAATTATTCCATCAATAAACCTATTATCAGAATCAATTTATATTCCATTCGTTGACAGGAGTGCATCTTTATACTTGCAAATCGCGGCTCGTTTTGACAGTATCTAAGAAGTCTATTAAAAAATTCCACATATATATATATATATATATATATATATATATATATATAAATACACGTACAAGATGTGTATAATGAACGTAAATATACACATAGAGATTGATAAATATAATATTTTTTATGTCATGTTATACTTTTTTTTCAT